AAAGGGGTAGGGGTAGTGGGAGGGGCAGGGGAAAGGAAAGAAGGGAAAGGAAAAATGATGAGAAATGGAAAAAATGGAAATAAACTCTTTGTAAATAGGGAAGGGTGGAGGGGTGAAGAGAGGGCTAGGAATGGGAAAACAATAAGAACCAAGATGCATTATGTAAAGGTACAAATCCCAATGAGAAATGTAATTGTGTTGTGTACCTAAAATGTACCAATAAAAGAATTTAACAACAACAAAAGAAAGAGGCAGCTCTGGGCCAGATGTGAGTGGGTGATGGAAGCCTTGTCCAGTGTCCACTGGCAATGAGTCCCATGGTTACAGCTCTTGGAGGGCTGAGGCTACAAGGTTTTTGCTAAGAGATAAGGCAGTAGAGAGTGGGGCATGGGCAGGGGGACAGGGCAGTGCCCTCAGTCCATCATTAAGTACTAATCCCCACGGTAAAGTTTCAGCATAGTGAATAACAAACAAGGCCTCTCAATTTGCAGGTGGCCACAATCAGTAAGCCGGCTTCTTCCTGCCAAAGTCAGGGTGACCTAATAGTATTCTCCCCACCATTGGAGGAGATAGAGGACAGTCACCTACAAAGTAGAAATGTAGGATGCACCTTGGTTGTAGCACTGCAAATTTTTACAATAGCTACAGAAAACATAAACAGCTGAAACGAGAGAGACAAAATTGATGAAAAACTCCTTACAACAAGATTTAAGGGCAACCGAGGATTGAGTTTTTCCAGTGACTGGCATGGCGGTATGGATGTGGGAAAGGCTCCAGGCCACCCCAGATTGGCATAGGATGAAAACCCAGCATAAGTATCATGCACAAGGACTAAGACAGGCCCAGGACACACATTTTCCTTCCCGTATCTGGGCAAGGGCTTCTTGATGGGTAAAAGAGATAATAATACACACACATACTCTCTCTCTCTCTCTCCTCTCTCTCTCTCTCTCTCTCTCTCTCTCTCTCTCTGTAATTTATAGTTACATAAGACACCATGCCTGTCTTGGGTAGTAAAAACAACCTACCCAAATGCTGAGGGGCCTGCTATGTAAGAACACTGTAACGGGCAAGGGGAAATCATAACATATATGACCCAAATATTCTATTCAAGACTGAAACTGCTCTTAGTTACCAGGGCTCTCTGTAATCAACAGCCATTTTTGACTGAAGAATTCAGCACTGCATTCCTGGGACATGGGCAGGGTGCCATGCCTTGGGTGCCTGGAGTGGGGTCATCGCACACATGCGCACACTAGCAGCTGTCTCTGGCATCTCATGATGCTTTTGTTGATGACTTACAGTATCTATACAGTTAATATAATCCAAGTTGGGCCTAGATTCTATAATCAGTATGCCTCAGAAATTGAGGGCCTCTTTAAGGCATTAGTTATTGTTCTCTAATAATTTTTTAGTTCTTAATAACAACAGTTGGGTGCTTCTAAGAAAGTCTTGGTAACTCACAGCCTTTGGGACAAAGAATGAGAAAACAGACATCCCAAAGCCGCCCAAGTGGGATGTGCCTCAGCTTCACACTCTGACCACAGAGTAACCTATACAAAGATCACATTCTTGAAAGTATGCGTTTTCTCCTTTATACTTCTGTCTTTGCTGGAAGGGGTGGTGTGATAGGTCTCTCAGGCTTGGCTAGAAGCACAGATGTCAGGAATCAAAATCCAAGGTGATAAGTGAGACCATGGAAACACTTCACTGGGATCCTTAAGACTTCTGCAACCTCCTAAGCTGCAGCCAAAGGTGATGGAGGATGGAGTCTTGGGTGGCTTTCTTGGCACCTTCTCTTGTCAGTCCTGATCAGTGTGCTTCCCAGCTCAGAGGAACGGGTGGAAACAGTGGAATGGGGGAAAGAATGAAAAGAGAACTCAGAGTCCTCATAGCTCCATTTCTGGTTAAGTCACAGATTATAGAGGACTTCATGCCCCACAGCATGAAGATTCAGATGTCAGATTCAGAAGATGCAGGCTCCTTCCTTTCCCTCATTATCAGAGAGAAGGCAGGGGAGGTCCCAGTCTGAGAAGGGAGGGAAATAAAGAAGTGAAAGTGTAAAAGGACAATGTGTGCTCTCTAGGAATGTGGGTGTCTGTGGTTCAATGTCCCAGCCTGGCCTAGCCTGGCATTAACTACATTCTTGCTGATCATGTGGAGTCTGCTTTCTTCTCCATGCAGCACCCCCACAACCCCAAGGCCACTTCCTCTGTCTATGTCCACCCTCAAAGCACAGAGCAAGTGTCCCTCTGGGTCACACCCTAGTGAGGCTCAGCTTCCCTTGCTAGAATTATTGTAGTCCTCTGCTCCCAGAGTCCTTGCTGGCTCCACCCTGACTTGTGCCTGCCTTCATGCTCTGAGAACAGGGGCTTAATCTAGTACATTCCCAAGGATTGCCCAAGGAGCCAAGATCCAGATCGTGTGTGTTCTACTTGCTTGAAAAAACATCATAAAACTTAAATTTTCTTTTCTCAGAATTATCCTCAGTGCAAATCCAGAAAAAGATGCACTATATACCACTGCATTTCTAAGTGTTTCCCCATGTTTTCCCAAATAACACTGGGAAAACATTCTGGAGTCAACTCTTCTGGCTCCTGATCCTCTTCTTGGTCTAGAGGTTGACTTATAAGCACCAAATAAACAGGCTTCTGACCCTTCCAATAAATTCATGCATTTGAATGCAGACCTAGTGAGGACCACTATGAAAGGGAGAATCCTGGGTTTTCAACTGAGATCAAAGAAGCGCATGATACAAGTTCATCTCAAGCCTGGGTAAGGAGAGAAGCGGGCAGGACAGAGAAGAGGAAATGAAGACAAAGAGCTGCTCCTGTCAGGCTGGGTGCAGGAGGCAGGGCCCTGTTCCCACCCTTCCTGTGCTCTGGCTCAGCCATGCCCCCAGGGAGGAACACTCTGACCACCTCTGTTTCCCTGGAAGGCTAGAGAACTAGAACCTTCAGTGTTTTGATTCAAAGAAAGAGGAATAAGGAAGGAAAAAAGGAAAAAAGGGAGAGGAGAGGTAGAGAAAAGGACTAGACCAGACCAGGGGCCTTAGAAAGGCCATTCATGGTTAAACACCAAACGACCTGACACGTGGCACCAGGGCAAATAGGCTCATTCCTGCAGGAGACCTGGTCCTGACATTGGCACACTTCCTTGCTGAGCTCCTTTCAAGAAAGGCCCAGGCAGCGAGCCTTTGGGAACAACTTCAAAGGGCAAGAGCTGACCATTTTTGTAATAGAAGTAGAAAGTCAAGGAACAATTTCTGAAGAAGAGAGGCAGTGAAGACCAGAAATATGGACCTTCTCTCCAGAGCCCTGGCAGTAGTGCTGTCTCTTCTGTCTGATGCCCTTACAAAGCCACACATCATGTTTCCCAGTGAGCCCATGTTCATGAGACTCACTAAGCAGACGAGGAAACAGCCATCTACAGATGGGGCAGAGCACACTTACCTCCATCCGCCGTGGACAAGCTCTGTGGAAAGAAAAGCAGGGCAGAGCGTTACTATGCATGTGGGGTGTGAATCTCCACCCATTTCACCTCTCTTCCCACCTGGCCTAGCCCAGAATCTGACTGTGCCGGAAAAACCTCTCGCTCTCTTCTCTGCTGAGAAATTTATTTGAGATCCCAAAATTAAGGGACCAGCTGAGGGTTTATCATCGTCAATTTATATCATATCTCAATCAATTTAAGGAGAAAATCATTTCACCAAATATGCTGGATTGTGCTGAAGTTATATGTATTAGAAGATTCCATCTTAAAATTAATTTCATGAGACTGTTCTCCTATAATTGAGGTACTGCAGCAGCAGGGTTATGGAATGGCCTTAGGGATTCTCTGTTCTTTACTACATGGCACCATTTGCTTTTACATACAGCAAAATGTCATGTATTTTACTTTTCCTATTTGGAGTTCATGTTCGTTGGATATGATTGTTGCTTCTGGCCATCTTATAAAGGGAATTCTCCAAAAGTGAAGTATAAATAAACCAGAGGGAACATGTACAATCTGCTTAATGAGAACTGGATTCAGAATGCTGGAGTGTAGTAGAGGAAGACTTTTCAGGCTTTAGGCAGATAATGGCTTTGGATAGCAGGTAGATGGGGTTAATTTAATGATTCTTCTTGATGCGTGCTAGCAAGCCAGGTGATCCACACCTGAAGACAAGCCACTCTCAGCTTCAGAGATGGCACCTGGTCCTCACACACCTGTAACAGGTGAGCTCAGACTTGTGGCTCAGACTTCTCACCTATACCCAACCACCCCACCCCACCCCCACCCCAGCCCCACAGGCGCCATTTTGTTAGCACTCTTCCTCGTGGATAGACACTATGTTTGTTTTCTTCACCTTCTGAAAGTCCTTGAAGGATTTTTCTGTCTCCTTTAGCTTCTCTAGGATGATTTGCTCTTTGGCAGATATCTGGGACTCTTCACTTTCGAGTGCTTGTATTTCCTGCTCCAGCCTGGAAGAAACACAAACAGAGGACAAGTTGCTTTATTGTCCTGCCATCCATGGACAAGAGAGCAGCTCCTTCCTGTTAAGCCACTGTTGTCTTCCTGGCAGGCTCCGTTTTACATTATGCTGAGGAATCAGGCCAAGGTTTTATATTACAGAGCATCCAAGGTTTCCAGCTTTGTCACAGGGAAGACATTGGTCAAAGGAAAACAACCCAGGGCTACCTCTACTAGTTCATACCCATTAATTTACTGTATGCTTTGGTGTCTCCCCTCCAATCCCATTAATGTGCACATTTCTTATTCAGAGGTAGATTATGTTTACATAATACAGGACATAATATCTGCAGGCAATAGCTCCACATTCTCTTAGCCTCCTCAGGATAACTGCTCTTCTCTCAGCCTGGCCAAAGGGTAAAGGGCCAGTCTTGTTCAAAGGAGATACATTGTTAAGAAATGGCAGGGGGTCAGAACCCTTGGGATCCTGCTGTCCACTCCCACAGTGGCCTGGCTTCTACTGCCAAAAGAAAAGGAAATGGAAGAGACAGATGCAGCTGTCCCTGTTCTTCTGGAACTTTCTTCAGTTTTCATAGTCATCATATATATTTTCTGAAAGGGAAATTTCAGCACTGCCAAGAGTCTCTGAGAGTTCCAGAAGAGCAGCTACAGCTACAATTTGGTGGAAGTCTCAGCATCTACATTCTTCCAGTAAAATGATAAAGATAATCATTAGCTTTTATGGAGCACTTATTTTGTGTTAAAAACTAAAAATTCACATTGGTTATTTAATTAAACCTTCCCAATGACCCTACAAATTGGAAATCCCCATTTTGCAGATGAGATCAAGACTTGGCAAGGTTAAGTAACTAGTTTGTTGTTGGAGGGCCTTGCCACAAGGATGCCAGCCAGGAAGTCTGAATCTGCCTTAAAAGGTGGGTTCTACAGCATCTCACTTACTCCCCTCCTGGTTAACCATTGTGTATGCTGGCATGCCAGGGTGGGGCTGGGACCCAGCAATGCCTTTAGGGGCTATGGAAGGACAGATGTTCCCCTGCCTAAAGGACTCCAGACTGCTATGCCTCTTTAATTCTTTCATCTGAATTTGCTCATTCATTTATTCGCTCACTCACTCATCCTTTTTTTTTGTTGTTATGGGGATCGAACTCAGGACCTTGCACTTGCGAGGCAGGCAGTGGCACCACTGAGCTAAATCCCCGGCCCACTCATCCATTTTTAGTTCTGGTTCTTCTCCCCTTGTCATGCTGAAACCTTTGCTTCAGAGTTCTATGCCTTCCTATACTAATCCTCTTCCTTGCTTTCCTCCTCTTCCATCTTCTAATCTGCTCTTCAGCACTGGCTACCGGGGCCACCAGATTTTGAACTAAAATGAACAGTTCAGAGTGAAATCTTTTGAGAGGTAAGGAACATCAAGAAAAAGGCATGGATACACTATGCCCCTAAGAAGCCTTTTGTGTTTCCTTCCTGAATGTCAGAAAAATGACCTCTGGATGGAGCAACTTTGCAGCAATTACTTTGGATTATGAAGACAAACTCTAAATCCAACTGTCTCTCCTCCAAAATGAACACAGCTGCAGATGCATTTAATATTTCACTTGGAACAGAAGTGAAGGCCTTACAATAATGTACAAGGCCCACAGTGTCCAACTTCCAGGAGCTATCTGACCTGCATGCTCATCAACCTGCCCATTTCACTTTATGCTCTGCCCAAACAGCTGCCCCTATTCACTCTTGTGTGCCCCATATTTCTCCCTTCTCCAGGAAACTCATCACAAGCTTCTAGCCATTACTATGGTCTCAGCTCAGCTGTCCCCAGCCCCCTGAGACTTTCATAGATTCACCGCCATGAAGTAATGATGCCTCCCTCTGAACATTTCTTAGCACATTATTTTGGTTTCCCAGAGATCTTACCAAGTCTAGCATATGTTAAAGGAGTAGTTCATCCTCCAGGAGATACCTAGCACTGTCTAGAGATATCTTGGTTGCCCATAACTCAAGGGGCATGGGATTGGTATCACTGGCATCTAGCAAGGATAAATATCCTACAATGCACAGGACAGTCCCTGCAATAAAGAATTATCTGGCCCCCAAATAGTGATATGCATTATTAATTCCCCCATTTAGATTAAAAATTCATCAAAGCCAAGGTACAAATGTTCAATACAGTAGGCTGAATTAATGCAATAAAATGAAAGCTAGACCAAGTCACACAAAGGTATGGCCCAGCCAAGATAAAACCATCAGAATTTCTGAAACCAGAGTGAATTCTTCAGCAAGCTCTGATGTGAGAGGCTGTGTGTAGGCTGAGAGACAAACAGCATCTCGAAGAGAGGCAGCTGTTCAATGTGAAGACATAAACACAGTGCTATAAAACTCATTCACTGTCCCAAATGTTTGGCAGAATCTTGCACACACATCTGTGTACATTATTTGGGGGGAATCAAGGAAAGGGATGTGCATATGCAATAGGGACAACATGCTGGGGTGGCCAAATGACCCATACACTGGACCAATTCAATGGTTGGAAGAGCTTTGGATTTTGGGTCTACCAGATGGACTGGATGACTACTGTCCAGGTGGGTTCTAAGCAGATTTTATTTAAATCTAAAAGGACAGAGTACCTCAGCAGATATTTAGGATATGTGGTAGATTATATTATCCTCAAAAATATTCCTTCTCATTCCATTTGCCTCCTTGAGAAGAATACCTACTTCCCTGACCCACTGATGTTGGTTTTGGTCATGTGGTTTGCTTTGGCTTCATGATGGGTGGAATATACTTCCCTCTCACTTGCCTGTGGGTTTAGCCACATTACCTCCATTAGCCAATGAGATGTCAGCAGAAATGACTCAAGGAGAGGCTTGGATAGCAATTGCCTAGCCGAGATTGCCCCCTCTTACCTCTGCCAGTGCCATGAGAAGACCTTCTCTAGACAACTCTAGCCCTTCCTTCAACTTGGGCCTCAGAAAGAGTATGGAGCAGGGCCGGGGACTTAGCTCAGTGGTTCCGGCGCCTGCCTTGAAAGTGCAAGGTTCCGAGTTCGATCCCCGGTACCAAAAAAAAAAAAAAAAAAAAAAGTATGAGAAAGAGTATGGAGCAGACCTGAGCCCAGCCCACAGCCAGAGAAATGCCCAGCTGGAACTCCATCACTATCAGAGCTGCTTGGCAGAGCCCAGTCCAGATCAGCAAACACTCAACACAGAGTGGCAGCAAGAATGAGTGACTTTCAGTTTTAGCCAGTAAGTCTGAGGGAGTTTGTTACAGCATTACTATGCCAATAATTCACTGAGACAGGTCAAAAAATTAAATAAATTATCCTAATTATATGTAATATATACAAATATATGCTTATAGGTATAGATTTTTATTTTTTATATCTATATTTATATATCCTAATGATACCTGAAGCTCAAAGATTAGGAAGAAAATAACCTATCTGGTACCTCCTTCCCTCAATCCTCAGAGAAACCTAGAAGGAAACAGCATTCCTAAATGAAGATTAAGACTGAGAAAATAAGAACACTTCAGTGGTAGTTATTTCTAAGTAATGGAATTATAGGTGATTCAGATTTTTTTTTTTTTTTACAATCTTTGGCATTTCCCCAGTTTTAAAAAGTTATGTATTACTTATGTAACCAGAACGTTTTACTTAGTAAAAACAATCAATTCCTTTTAAAAATAGCTCCTGAGGCCTCATGCTAGAAAGGCAGAACCTAACAGGCTGTGGGAGAAGAGGGGGCCAGAGCCTCAGTTTCTCCATGTCAAGTGAAAGGGTTAAATGGCACCCTCCAATGTTTTGGGGGGTTTTTTGGTACTGAGGATTGAACCCAGGGCCTTTGCATTAAGCTACATCCCCAGGCCTTTTTATTTTCTCATTTTGAGACAGGGTTTCATTAAGTTGCCCAGGCTGACCTTGAACTTGTGATCCTCCGGCTTCAGCCTCCCAGAGTACTGGCATTACAGCCCTTGCAACCACTCCTTGATCCAACATCTATTTACATTCAAAACCAACAATTCCTAAGCTTATGTGGCTGGGCACAGAGGTTGGCACTATGGGAAATTCTCAAACAAGATTCTGTAAAAATGGCTAATTAAAAAAAAAAGGCGGCTTGGAGGTAACTCACTTCCTTCCAGTGCAGCAGCCACAAGTAGTTAAGAATTCTCTGTGACCTGAAGGCCACTGGCTGGCCTGTCTATCTCCACAGTCTGCCTCTGCCCTATGGGTTTCAGGGTGCTCGGCTATATAGTTCAGGTGCTAAAGATTCGGGTCATGATACTGTGCTGCGTAACTGAGAAGGAATGGAGAGAGGGAAAAAAACAATGAAACTAAACCTCTGCGATAACAACTGAGTTTCACCCCAAAGGGAATGACTGAAGGAAATAGTTTATGTAAGGTTAAGCAAGTCAGATCCAAGAAGCAGGTTTTTCTACAAATGCACACGTGGTTCAGGGCCAGGTTCTGAGGATGCTGGATGGCCCAGGCCACCACCATTTTCGGGACAACCCAAGTCCTGGGGCTGAGGAGCTTCCCAAGGACCAGTGTCACAGGGTTAACAACTGTCATCCCAGCCGCACTACACATGCTACTGTTTTCTAGCGTTGTGAATGAAACCTAATGCAGCCTTCTCAGGAGGCACCAAATGCTATCACTGTGCTAAAAATAAAGAACGGGCAGGAAGTGTAATTTATACAAGAGGTTAATCGAGGCTTTTGGAGCTTTGACAGGTTCATACAGCACCCTCTGATTGGCTTGCTCAGTTCCTTCCAAGCAAAAAGCCAACAGCAATAAGCTCCAAGGAAAGGTAACACACTGAAGCTGTGGAGGTTTAATTTACTGGAGATGAGGTTTTGATCAGGACCAAATGGACTTATAAAATCCACCTGACCCCCACGGGCCAACCTCGTGGCAAAACACAAAAGACCTCTGGCTCTATGAAGTGCATCAATCGTCTTTTTCAAAACTCACTCATGTATTCACCCATCTAACTTT